ATGTAAAAAGAATTTTTTATCAACCCTAAAATGTGATAATAAAATGTCGTTGTCACTACTTTTGGATACCCCTAAGTACATACTCTGTAAACCTATGAAGAAAACGGTTAGCCGATGTATCTTGCGTGTTTTATTGATACAATGTTCAATCAGTCAGGGCTCAGATAAGCTCGTATCAACCTTGCATGCAGTTGGCGGTTGATAAAATCTTGATGCTTGATATAATTATCTTAAAGGAAGGACTACCATTAGAAACCTATGAATCTAAACTAATTTATATGACTTCGACTTATAATGGAAACCTGAGAATAAAAATGTTGATCAACTGTGTATCTGCGTTTTATACAAGTCATGTAAGAAACACATAAATCAATCGTCGGATATTACTTTCTGTGTTGAATCGTAGCGAAGTTTTCAATACAAGTTGTATTCACTAAGAGTTACAAAAATGATTAATTGAAAGTCTCAGAAAGTGTTGTCTTCTGCATTTCATTAGTACTGTCACTCAAAATGTGGATAAATAATTGATGGCGATGTATCGTTCGTATGTTTACTCTATGCTATGACATACAAAGCTCCCATGAGTTTTCGAGCAGAAGTATTCTCTTAGCAAGATCTACAAACCTGGAAATTTAAAGGTATGAAAAGATGCCGCTGCTGCACGTCAATATGGAATTTAAAAAGCGATCAACTAAAGAGACATAATTACAAATATGTATTGTTTTTATACTTTGTTAAAAGGAGAAACTAGCACTAACTCTTACATTTATATTAAGTCTTTGGTAAGCACTCATATTTTGTATTCTAAACAGCTATATACTTAGTTCTTAAATCATAATAAATCTTCGTTCTTCCTTAGAGGTGATACTTAGAGGATCTTAGATTTTTTATTTGAACTTCTACAATATCCAGTTTTCTTTTATTGAATAAGATGTATCTCCAAAGTTTATTATTTAATCATCTTACCCGCAAAGTAAACTTCAAGCCATCATGCGTGTCAAATGAAAAACTTTTTTTACTATCTGCTTCTGTCAGCTTCTACTTAGTTATAGTAAAATACATCCTAGGTAAATATTCAATTCTATTTTTGTATTATTAAACAAAATACTGAACTTCATAAATTTTGTTGGAGCATATACAGAAGTTCACAATTAATCTCTATGAAGGTATTGCCATCAGACCCTGTTTAGTTAAAACTGTTTATTTTTATATAATACTGGTATCGCTTTATTATTGGTTGGTTTAAGTGCAGGATTGAGTGTTGAAATTCACGGGTTGGGTACGGGATATGAAAGGAACATGTATGAGTAGAGAGCAATTACATAAACCTATACTCCTACAATTCTCAAAAGCATGAATGATAAAAACTTGATGGCAGTTACTAATATTTGACACATCGAATGTACTTGTGATTTTTGGGAAATTTTATGATTATTATTTCTATGCTATTATTATGTTCCTCTTGAATAAAAGTGCAGAAAATGATTCATTTACGTTTTGAACCATCGGTAGGATAGGTACTGTATACGTGATATGAGTTTGAATAGGATGCAGGTATGAAAAATATAGAAACGTGTAATTTACATGTGGAAAAGATATAGGTAAGAAAGTTTCGTAAGAGTCGACTATGGATATGAAAAATGATATCTTTGCAATACTCTAGTGCAGACTCTAGGCTTTTATATCAGAAGGTGCTAAATTTTTATTCACACATTAACGGTCACAATCAATGATTTATGTCCTGTCAGTAATGGTCTGTGCAAATATGTAGGATAGAGTGATGCAACGGGCTTTCTTTCAAATTTGAATCAATAATGAAAAGTAATTTCATGAGAGAAAGACAATCTATTCACAAATATTGGTTATGTAGATCAATAATGCAGCGTTCAAATGGCATGCTTTATTTGTAATGAAGAATTACTTTGCTAATTATATGAATATATCATGAGGAAAAAGAATCAGATCGAATTATAAATCTGAGCTAACATTTTTGTATAACTCAACCCTTACATCATTATTTTTTCCAAATAAAGCATGCGATTGTATGGCAAAGAGAATTTTCTGCTTAATTGGCATATGAATAAATTTCTTATTAGCATCGAATTATTATTCATTGTTTACTTAAACTTCAATTATTACGACGAAGATATTTTGTGAAAAAGGCTCAGGATTACCATTGAAAGAACCACATTAAAGTTATTTTATGAAAGATTAGTAGTTTTTCTTTCCCAACAAACAAGACGTGAAAAAAACGCATTTAATTGTGTTAAAAACAGAGATGCCCTAATACAAATGTAATCTATGCTATCATTTATTCACATACCTCTATCAATAATACATATACTTTCAGGTACTCGAGTACACGTAACTCAGTACATGACATTGCATAGCACGATTTCTTTCCTAAATTCTAGATCTTTTTGGCCAATACATGTAGTGATGAGAGTGTATATATAATGTGTTGCATGAATTTCCAAGAAATGCAGTTCAATTTCTGAAAAATTTGCTCCGTTTTCTGAGTAAATTCGCGGAAAATTCTTTTATAATACCTCACCCGAAAGTGACAGCGTGCACACTATACACTATACCTGGTCGAAGTGGTCCTCTTCTGATTTATGCCCATTACAGCTATTATATGCACTATATCGATTATGATCATATAACATGTTATCTCAGCAACTAGAAAATTAAGTTTAGTTTCCTGAACATGCAAAGTATGTCAGCATTGGACAGTTGAGAGGTATGAATTTCGAAATCTGATCACATATATCAATAAATTTCAGAGGTGAATATTAAAAAGCGCAGCAAAAAAAAGGTTTTTGATTGCCTGTTCGAGTAAAAGTATGTTTTTCTCGCTCAAAGTTCCACTTTCAGCGAATTTGGATACGAAATTTGGAACAAACACAAACTTCTACGCATGGTGATATGTGATTTAGGAGAAACGAAAAAAAACTTTTGTGGTGATCCCAAGTGTTTCTTCGAGATGCCAAGTGATAAAAAATGAAAGTCGTTTTTTCGGCAAAATAAAGTACATCATTTTATTTAGAACTTAATGTTGATTCCGAATATATAATTCTTGTTCGAAAATATTTTCAACAAAAGATAGTTCTATCAAGACTAATCCTTTGTTTACGAAAAGTTTTATTTCAAATTCGAACAGATGTTCTCAATGAATAAATGTCATCCAACACCGTTATTCGCAATCGGCTTAGTGATCATCACTATGCATAAAAAGCAGCCATTCTATATAGCATATTTGTTGCTAAGAATAGTCTCTTTTCTCTCATTTCCATCATCTTGTTAACATTGTCTAGCCAGATGTTGAAGAAAGATGAATGAAAGAAAAGAGATCACTTCTAGCAACAAAGAAACTAATTACTTTATATGATCGTTTTTCATGTATGCATGTAGTCGACAGCGGAATCGGAAATAAGACTCATTAGTTGTAGCATTATGTTCAATAAAAATTCAAATTTCATATGAAGTTCGAATCATTGACACTATAAACATCTGATTCATCGTCATTATCTTCTCCTACGTGTTCTAGATCCACTGAATTGACAGATTCAGAATCGGATGACACATCTGTGAGACTAGACTTATCAACTATTTTATATATCGCATTCATTTTATTCAAAACAAAATTATTCGAATTCCGAAACGTATGAATCTTTTTTTTCTTCAAAGAATTATGTGCATCAATTTTACCTAGTAATTTGAAAGCAGTATCAAAAGCAGAAGAAACTATTCGTTCTATTTCAGCTTTCGTCAATGGTAATGTTATTGATGACGTTGAAGACGCAACTGCTCTACTAATTTGTTATTGATGTTTAGGAAAGTGCAGAGATGGTGTCTTAACCGTAGAAATATTGACCTTACTCTCATTATTAATACGATTCAATGTCGACAGTTTCTGAGAACGACGTAAAACCTGAATTACGGAAAAGTTAACAATAGATGAGAAAGCATCCAACATGGCTCTAGCAGAGCGAAATGTGCTTTCACATGTTTGAGAATTAAATACCAAGATTTCAAGAGATTCGACGGATAAACTCCCTTCTATTACTAGAAGAATCACATATATTAATTGATGTGTATTGATTTTGATCGATTGAAACGACATATTTGTGATAAAAAATTTTCATATTAATTTTCCTATAGATGGAGAAGAATTCTCGTTTAATGACCATGAAAATATTTCATTAGAAGCCATGTGCACCAGATACGATATAGAAAAACAGTGAATCAGACATGATAAACTTGATCATTTATACTCGTTGGGTGTGGGTATAGGTATCGATTTTCTCATCACCTACACCCACGCTCTTTTGGACATTGATTAAGAATTTGCAGATATTCACTGACTTAATTTTAAATAAATAAATTTTCTATTCAAAAGAGTGTTTTTTGAGCCATTTTATTTTCAGTTCTTTGTCTGATTTTATTAAGATATTGCTCTTAGTAGAGAATTCGATTTTAAAGTTGAGAGGCATATTCTTCTCTTATTTGCCGTAATTTTTTGATCAAGTCTTCAATACCATCGATTGTGCGCCCATAATCAAATGTCACATGTTTGGTTCCATCTAACCAATCAACTTGAATCCATTCTGCTCCACCATCAGCACAATCAGGGCATCTGATGGTATTGTCTAATGCTAAAAATGTCTTCAAGTTAAGACTAGAAACGAGTTGTTCCCATCGACTTGCTAGAAAAGAAAATGATCGCTGAACTGGAAGATAAGATTCTTGATCAAAGTTTGGTCGTTTTGAAACGACTATTTGTAATGGATCTTATGTGACATTAATGGATTGTTGACAATAACCAGCACACATTCCAAATGACGTTCCACTAGCAATCGATCGAACATCTTTTCTCTCAAATTGTCCGTGTGTTAGTGTAAGAAATGTAACAATGAAAAAATATAGCCACGAAGATTGCATCGTTTTTACGATTGAAAAAAACTTGATTTAATCTAAAACACTTGACAAACATTCACTTGCGAAAAAGAATGATTCGATCAAATAAATATATGACCTATATACGTGACTAGTGGTAATCATAGAATATTTCAAACGAAAACATAAGTGAATCCCTTACAAAGCAAAAATAATTGCTTTCTTCCCAGGTGTTATTTTTCATTTTACTTTCATACTATTAAGGGGCCCCCCCCCCCCCCCCCCACCTTAGAAAACCCAATTTTTCGAAAAAAAATCGAAATTGAGTTTTTTACACAGGAAGATGCGCCAAAGATTCCTCTTTCCGAATATAGGTAGCTTTTTGCAAAACGATCAGATTTTCACGGACTTATCGGTAAAAAACTGGACCCCCTACTATCACATTTTACAAAAACTTTTCGTAATTTTTCAAAATTTTTTGATTTTCTTCAAATCTTCTGCTATCTTTTGTAAACGATGTAACATTTTTTTTGAGAAGTGATTCACGTCTTCTATTTTATTGATTGATACATTTTTATATGGAGGATTGTTAGTTAGTTTTGGAAAAACTTTAGAATCCCCATCTCCTACATAACTACAACGAAATATTTTACAAAAAATAAAACAATATAGTTTTATTTACTTTATATATTGAACGTTGTACATTCTCTCGGATCATGAAAACAAATGATATATTCCTTCTGCTTCCATAGAACCTAAAAAGCATATAGTTAAAATAGAAACTGCTGAACGGAATAATACCTGATGAGCCTGAATGAGTTATTTTACATTTATGTTTATTTTTAATTTCTTCATATTTTGTTGGATTTGAATGTTTGATACTAAGTGCACCTGTACAAATGGAACAACTTTTAGATAATCTCTCCAAATCCAGCACCTATAAAACTTGAATGTTAATATATAGAAATATTTTCATCTAATATGTACTTTTGCACTGGAACAGGTTGACATTATTGCAACAACTCCATGTAAACTAGAAAAGCCGCGTTTTTGCCAGGTCCCGTCTCCGCTTACAGTAAGTTTACGTTTATTTGATTCATCACATGCTTTTTCTATAGCATTTTTCATTGAATTGAGCTTGTGTGATTCAAATACCGGAAGTATACGTGTAATAGTGCGAGAAAAATGATCATCATCAATAGGAGGTGGTACATTCAAAACACCACAAAGTTTTACAAGATCTTGATGACCTATCCCGGCAAAATTTGCACCTAAATAACAGATCAATTTATGTGTTACTATGCTACTAAAATCAACTTACCAATTGCACTTCGAATATTAATATCTCGTTGAGAAGTTTTTGGACATTGTTTAGATGTATTGATTTTAATTTCGTTCGAGCAGTGACATGTAAACACCAGAGAACAATATAATCCTAAAATATATATGTAATTATTAAGTTTTACGCGAGAAAAGATAACATAAACAGTACCTTCCCGTTGTGCAACAGACATATCACCATTCCATATTGATTTACATGAGATACAAATACTTTGTTTCATTAATTCCAATAAAAACGAATTGTGAATTATCTGATAATAATCATTTGTATCTTCAACAACATCTGTATTTTGTTGTTCAAGAAAATTTGACAATTTTTGATATGATGGACCAGCAAATTGACGTTCTTTATACGTGAAATGTTCATTACCAGTTGGTTGATCTATATCGGAAATAAGATCATTTTGTAGTTGATGCGTCTTTTTCATAACATTTTTAACGACTTTTTTCGATGTAGATGTGTTTTGAGTCAACCGGAACTTTCTTTGCTTTTTCACAATTGATGGGCGTGTCATTGAAGAAGATATAAGCACAAAATAATATCAAAATCTAGAAAATAAGAATTCATAATGACTTGTGCCTCAGTGAGCATAAATATAGCGTTATCTGTGATTTTTCTTTAGCGTCTTACTCATCTTTTTCGAAAAAAGTTTCAACTTGTTTAACTTATCGAAAAAATGGTATGAATCATCTCATCCAGAAAATATACAGATACAACAATTCATTCGTGCGTCACGTAAACTAGAGAAAAAAGAACACTCCCAGGATATGATAGATGGCATTAGCACACATCATTTGTTGCATTCTTGAAAAATACCTATTATCATATATTGAAAATGTGCCATTTTATTGCGATTTTTTTCGAAATTTCGACGAAAAATTATTTTCCAAACTTATTTATCGTTTTTCTCAAAACATGGTTTCTAGACAGGAAAATCGAAATAACTCCCACTCGGCTCGGCATATCACCCATGATTGTTTTTTGTTTTAAAGGTCTTAATTAGAGCTAACTTTTTATCGGACGGATTTCTGATATTGAACCCCAGGGCTGAGAAAAGTGGAATTTACTGTCGTCGAACCACACTTTTTTATGCTTATTTTGCAGGCATGCCTACAAAATCGCTCGTAAAAAATGAATGGAAGGGACTTTCAAAATTCCGTCCGATGAAAAGTTGCGTACAGAGGCTAGCTACAATTTGAAATCAACCCAAGCTCTGTATCCCTTCTCTGGACGGAGTTATTTCGATTCTTCTGAAAGGTAGGAAAACCAATCAAAACTGCGATTTAGTCGGACATGTGAAGCTGAAATTTTTATCATAAGCGTTTCTCACTAAGACCAATTATCCCTGAAAATTTCAGCCCAAACGAAGGGTCCCAAGTGGGACTTCATTTCTAAAGGGGGGGCCCCCCTTTATACCAGCCAATCGAATGAGAGTATTCCGAGATGAAATCGTCCTCAAGAACAGGGACACTAGTGAGCAAAATATCCTCAAAATTTCAACTGAAAAACTTTTTCTTCCCGAGATATTATAAACCGAAATCTAAATAATATCTCACACGAAACCTAGAATGTTCTGCTTTTTCTGGATTTTAAGGTGAAAGAAAGGTAAGATTCTTTTAGCTGAAATTTTCAAGATATTTTAGTCACAAGTGGGCTCATTCGTAGGCAAAATCTCAGGCCGAAATTTTCTCTTTCGATTTTTTGGTATGTAACGCACCATCGGCTAATATTGTAGTGAAATACTCATAACTCTGAAGAGAAGGTTTAACAGCGTTTTTCATGTTCACATTCGAAATCGGCATAGTCGATAGTCTAAAACCCAGTAGGTTTCATCTAAAAAGCGATTGAACAGTTCAAAATATTCCTTTGTCAGATTTTTGTGAGGATATAGGTTCTGAAAGGATCTGCCTCCCGCAAGACTCGTTTTTGATGCAACAAAGAGGGGTAGATCGAGTGACCAAATACATGCAGGCTGCAGAAAATCATTCTAGCAATAAAATATATGACATCTTTCCACGTTTAGAACACTCACCTTCGTCTCTTCACTTTGCAGAAGATTGCGATCGCCGTCAAATGAAAAACAAAAGCGACTGGTGGGTTATTTGCGCCGGATAAAACATGATTATTTTCTTTCTCTTTCCCATTATTTATCTGAGAAATAAATTCGATTTTTCCAACAAAACCAGAGCTTATCAACATTTAAATGGATTCTTAGTTTTCAGTCAATATTCGGATGAGTGAAATTATAAAGGTTTCATGCAACAACAAAGCAAAATTCAGTTTGCAGGAATTTGTAATTAACAAAGCACATTAAGGTGTCTTATTCAGGACTATTGAATTTCTTGCGCGCAAATCACTGTAAGCCTAGTGTCGGGTGGGTGTCTGCAAGGTGTGGGTGTGGGTGTGGGTGTGTGGATGTGGGTGTGGGTGTGCGTGTGGGTGTGCGTGTGGGTGGGCGTGGGTGTGGGTGTGGGTGTGGGTGGGCGTGGGTGTGGGTTTGGGTGTAGGTGTAGGTGTGAATCTTGTGCACTCGAATAAAGACACCAACATCCAGCCACACCCCACACCAACACCACCCACACTCCCCACACCCACATCCACACAGCCACACCCACAGCCGCACCGACACCCCACACCCCACACCCCATACCCCATACCCCACTCACACCCGACACCAACACCCACACCCATTCGGGATGCTGATGCTTAGGGCGTATGTGAGTGTGGATGTTGGTGGCTGGGTGTAGGTACGTCGTGTGGGTGTGGCGGGTGTAGATATGGTGACTAACGAAGACAAAGATACACCCACATTCACCCACCGACCCACACCCACATCTCACCGACACCCACACTCACACACCGAGATCCGATTCGGCGAATGATGTTCGACATGTGATGTATAGTTACTTCATTGTGCTACATGAATTTATAATATTGTTATTCGAAAGCAATTAAGGACAGCATTGAATCCTACAGTGAACGAGACAGCGAAAAATATTGATTTAAATGGAGTGTTTGCCTCCTATGTGCTCTAGCTCTTTACGCATGGTAAGCAGCTGTTTTTTTTGTACATTCTTTCTGTTTTCTTCTATTCCCGGTTGTTTTATGATTTAAGAATAAATAAAATTGTCAAGTGGCATTTGATTCTTTTGCGAGTCACAGAAAAAAGAACTTTGACGCTGAAAAAAATGCAGTCAGTCACTGTTTATTTTTCAATTTTGCCAGCAATATCGACTTGTAAGGTACTGAATGTTAATTGTGAGCAGCACTTTAAGTTACATAAAATCTGATTTTTTATTGATCATTGTCAATATTCTCTGAAAGCTATTTATTAAAAAAAAGTTGAGATCCTGTGAGACATCATAATTATTATTCAAGATAGGTGCTCTACAATTAAATGAAATTGTCATGACCAATAGCTAAGAGCTCAAACTGAGTAAGTCGAAGAGATTTCTACTAATATACTACGACTATTTATCAGTTTCATACTGCAGAAAATTAAATATGCCGTAGATCGATACCAATTAGAAGCCTCACCAGATTCTATAAAATATTATGAAACACATATTTGTAGCCAACATTTACAGAACTTCATCTAATACCCGTGTATGATATCATCAAGTTTAGAATTTTTTTCTTATCACAAGTCGATAAGGTCTATCACTTCATCCAAGACATATTTGCTTATATTAGATCGAGTACAAAACCACAGATTCATCTGGTATTTACGTATTCCAACAGAATTCCGTAGTGATATTCATTCTATTACCTATGTTGAACTTTTCTCAGGTATTTTTAACAGCCACTATCTGAGATTTCCTTCACAGGCTGTTAAAGCTTTTTATTGGAATCACCAGCATGGCGCCTAGGACTCTTGAAACCCCTTGAACTGTAGAGTGTGGATGTGGGTGAATGTGTTATGCCCGTGTGGGTGTGCATTATGCGACAAGAGACCATAAACATGATAAAAGCTAACTTCTGATTATTATATATAATAGCACAACACGCGTTCACTTCGATATATTAAGCTTTTTCATTAAGAACCGATTATTGAATACCCTCACTAATAAGGTTATAAAGCGAAGATCAAAGCTTAACAAGACCGTGGATATACTGAAATTGACATTCCACTAGTACGGATAATGATGTTTTGTTTTCACGAACCGACAAGACTGCTAGATGCTTGTAGCTAATGGATCATCCTACTTTCATCTAGCTCTGCGTACTAGGAGCAGCTCGATCACGAAAAAAAGAACAAATTTAAGTTAATTCCGCCCAAAAATTTCAAAACTGTCATTGAATCTAAATAAGATGTAGTCTTTTCATTTCGTGATCCGACCGTTCCTACGCACACAGAGTTCCATGAAAGCAAACGAGTCAATTAGTTAGCAATAAAGGCCCTGTAGCCTTGGAGATATTTAAAAGAGAAAAGTTCTCATTGACGCCAATAAATATTTACTCTCGATGCGTATCTAATCAGAAGCATGACCGAGCCTACCGAGACCGAGAGTCTCGCCCGAGACTACCGAGACTGAGACTGACCGAGACCGAGGCTAACCGAGATCGAGACGGCTTGGATCGAGAGTCTCGATTCAGTCTCGGTCTCGGTGCATTCCTAATCTGAGTTCCACAATTCAGCTCTAAAGAAGCTGTGCTGACAAACTTTTTTCTTAAACATTATATTCTTCGCAAAGATTAATAACGATAGAGATCTGAACTTAGACAATAGTTACCTATTTATCTTTGGAAACAAAAAACTTTTTATTCCTCGTTGTTGACCGTGGCAAACTAATGCCAAGAACAACATTCCATGTAGAATTTCCTATTTATCTATTTTAGAACATTAGAAACTATTAACATTCTAAGTAATGTTGAGTGTAAACATGAAATTCTTTGATTAGGCTAAAATAACTACCTTTTCATTAATAAATTTTTAGATAATATTGCTAAAACTGTCATTTTTATCAATATTTATATATTATTTGAAGTAAAGAATGTCGAATAATTCATGTTGCCCGAGCTCTCAAAGCTGGAAACATTATTAGCCAGCATGTATCATTGGTTTAATTGGTGCTGTTCAAATATTTTTTTCGTTCGCTGCTGTTGGACTTCATGTTGCGATTGTTTTAATTGGTACGGTTAGTCTTTGCATTAGTTATCCAGCGTGGTATGTGATGGGTTTTGTTTGCTGGGGCTTTTTTTTGGCAAGTTGGATTTCAGTCTTCTGCGTCAGTAAGTATTTTATATTTCAATTCTTATTCTAAGAATTAGACTAGCATATTCATAGAATTTCTTTTTTTAATTCAACAATAGAAGTATAAATGATGATTTACCAGAATCAGTGCAATTCATAATAGTTTAATATGAGCGTTTCCACATCCTAAGAGTCTTTAAAGTAGGATTTATTAATAAAAATGCTAGAATTTA